GGTTGGAGGCCATCGCTTTTAGATTGGAGGCCATCGCAAGTAGGTTGGTTGGAGGCCATCGCTATTAGTTTAGAGGCCATCGCTATTAGGTTGGAGGCCATTTCTCTAGAAATTGCAAGAGAAAAATAACGCTGGAAATGCCAATCATTCTTGGGTGATTTCGTCGATGAAGCGGCGTCTCACTGACCGTGCGGTCAAGCTGGGTGGAGCGGGGGGGAATGTCCAGCAGGCAACGAGGCTCATGGAAAGCAACCCAGCAACCCTACTTGGGTTACGCAGCGCATTGATGGATAGCCTCCTGCAAGAATGACCGGAAATACGGGTTTCTAGTGTTTTTGAAACTATGGGTTTTTGATAGGGGGTTCTGCCACCGCAGCAAGTCAAATGAGTGCGTTGTATTTCATCTACAGCTACTAGGAGGGCCAGGAGCCCCTAGTAGCTTCTTGTTACTAGCAGCGATGCCAGGAGCCCCTAGTAGCGTCCTTGCTCCTAGTAGTACGGCCCCTAGTAGCGTTCTTGGGGGCACCACGTGTCTGGTTGTGCGGGGCGCAGCGTTCGCCGTTCGCAAAGCACCGGGCGTCCTTGGACCGCAGCTGTTCCGTTTGTGGTTATCCAGGCGCGAGCGCAGCGTCGTCCATGTCTCGCAGCGGTTTCTAACACATCCTGTTCTTACCTTTGCTGTATGTTTTGCTATATGTTTTGCTATACCGTTTGCAGAACTTTTTGTGTTTTTGAAAAGTGCTCAGAAAGAAATAGATTTTGCTTGGCCTAGTTTGGCCTACAAGTGACTTTTGTTGCACTAAAGCTTGAGCACGACTCATTGAATTGCGTGCATCACAACGTGACACTTGCTATGCCATGTCGCGATGCAAGAATGCATGAAAGATAGTCAAGCTCCCGTGATGTCTGAACTGCCTGCCCGATCCCGCGATCCAGATCTGCAGCGCATTGAGAGCGAAATGGAGGCAGCTGCCCTGGAGCGAGAGAGTTGGCAAAGCCAAGTCACCTTGATGTTACAGCAAGCAGAAGTCTTATACCGACAGATGAACGATGAAAGAGAAGCTCAGCTGATTCTCCATCGTTCCACACCGGCAAATTTCGGGGAAGCAGAGCCAGCAGAGCAGGACCTGAAACCTTTGATCCAGCATGTGCAGACGCTGCGCCGTGGCCTGGCAGAACTGGAAGGCCGCTGCTTGCCGAACTGTGTAGGATTGCCTTCACATTCTTGGGCTGTCAAGACTCAGGCACACTTGACAGCTTTAGAAGAGCTCTTGGAGTTGTCATTGACCAAGGAGACCCTCCTTAGTGAGATGGCCTTGGGGCGTTTGAGGCAGACAATCAGAAAGACTGCGCAACGCTTGGACGTCTTACTGCAGCAACAGCCGCGCTTTGTGACCTATGTCTTGCGGGAAGCGGATGAAAAAGAAGAAATCCCGTGACTGAAGGACAAGGCATTTTATACCGCTTATCCCTGGACTGATGGACCGTTCGTAGCCTAGAAATGGGACATGACCGTTGAGTTCAGGTACTTTCTGAGACTCCAGGTAGTTCCAAAGGAATGATTGAATTTGAGTCCCAGGTCCTTTGAGTGGATGTGGGTACCCCCTGGTTGAACTAGGCACCCTAGACACCCCGAAACTCCTGGAGTGAAGATATACCGCACTTCGGAACAGCAGAATGAGAGGAAGCTTTCACCCAAGTCGCTGGGAATCCCTTCAAACCCCAAGACTCAAGAAGAACCACAGAGCTGCAGACGTTTGATGTTGGCCATTCTAGTTCTCTCTGAGCCATTCTGCGCAGAGGTCGCATGTGCCTTTGGGTCAAGAAAGTCCAAACAACCCACACCAGTACCCACACAGGTCATGTCACAGAGCTTGGAACAGTTTTCTTGGCAACCGGTCCGCGGTCCGCGATCTGCGGTTTTCCTGAGGTCAGACCACGGGAAGCGCGCCCAAAAAAGTGGCGCGGCCGGACTGTACAAAAGATCCGGCCCCAAAGGATGTGGGAGGAGGGATTTGTTGAGCTCTCAGAGCAGAGGAAACGGTATATATTGAAGGGACCATCGCTATTAGGTTAGAGGCCACCGTTGGTTTGTGGCACCTGAACTTGGAAGTCGGGTTCCCCATCCACTCCTTGGTGACTCAGAGCTCGAAGGAAGTCGTGTTGCTTCGCGACCCGAACTTCTGGAGACCTGGATGGTCGAAGGGGTCGAAGGGGTCGAAGGCTTGTTAGCCATGTTTGAACCGTTGGAAAGAGGAGAGAACCATGATTTTGTTGGGCTTTTGTCAGGTGGAAAGATCCCATGCGACTCACGGTTTTGGCCACCAATGGAATGGTTTCACGCGGCCACCGCAGCCATGTAGCAACGAAGCGGTTCTCGGGTTGTGGAACCGACCGAGGCAGTTTCTTTTTTTTGGGGGGGGAGGGCAGGGTGCGGTTTGCGTGGGATGAATTGAGCGCAGAATGTTCAGCAGACTCTATGGCTATAGTTGTCAGAATATTTACGGGCATGTATTATTGTATAAACAATTTTGGACAGCCCCAGATGTTCTTCTTCAAGGGGCTGAGTACAAACGACCACCAAGCAATACACGCATGGCGCCTGATGATCACTGTAGTGGAATGCCAAGTGGAAGACTTGCAAATACCAGCCTCGACTTCCATTCAATACCAGGCCCGGCCCAGGCCCAGGACCCCCAGGGTGTGCCTATGAGGAAATACAGGTTTGATGCCATTGCTATTAATTAGGTTTGAGGCCATTGCTATTAATTAGGTTGGAGGCCATTGTTCTTAGGTTGGAGGCCATCGCTATTAGGTTGGAGGCCATCGCTATTTGGTTGGAGGCCATCGCTAGTAACAGTAGGTCCATCGCCATTGCTTTTCAGCCCTTGGTGGGTTCTCAATCGTGTTAAAGTCAAGCCATACACGCCGTACACTGGTCCCACTACAGGAATGCCTGCATTCTGTGAAGGATGATTGAAGGTTGGCAATAGAACGTGATTAACCAATAGATCAAGCATATATACATATATAATTAATATAGTTTAACGATACCTACATGCTGATCTACCATTTTGGAGGATCGATCTTTGACTTTCATGTGGTGAACCTAGCGCCAGGGTGGGTGAAGTGGTTGAGTTACAACAAGCCACAGGGATGAAACGGGCAGGGGGGGTGGGCCAGACCTGGGGTCAGCGTAAATACTCCGATGGAGTGCTTAGGCTGATGGCCAGGTCTTCCTATTCTTTGCGTGTGCTTCACGTTTGCTTCGGCCCAAGTACCACGTGTGGCCGGCGCGTGATTGCGGAGAGTTCCTCGGGGTCGATGACCTATGGGCCGGCACCCAAGAAGAAGCTCCCGCAGAAGAAGTCGGAGCCCTACGCCGCGCCCGAAGCTGAGGGACCGGGGGCAGAGGTTTGCCAGTTCTTCGCGAGACTTGGCGGAAGAGGCACTGGGAGACTCGGGTGAGCCTTTGTCCCAGTTCAGGGTCAGGGCGGTTGGCGACTTCACCGGTGCTTGAAGACCAAAGTGTGCTATCCTACAGACACATGTTTGGAGTTGAAGTAAAGCAGGTGGATCATGTCTTGCTTACAAGTCCTTTGGCTGCCCATCCAAACCAATCCAAATTCGCCAGTTCAACCACCGGTACTTGGCCTGACATGGTTTGCTGTTTTTGTATTGAGGGGGTGTCAAGTGCAGTGACATTTGAGACATTTAAGACATAGTGGTACTCGTGTTGTCATGTATTGTCCAAATATGTTTTCATACATGATGCGGAACAACAACAACAACAACAACAACAACAACTTCTTGCTTCGGCCGCCTTCGTCGCGATCAGATCCATCGTTCGGCTGAACGGTTTGATACGGTGCACCGAGGTGTTCGGCGTCCGAGGTTTTGGAGTGTCCCATATGGTTAAGACGTGCAGGTGGGGTGCGAACCCAAGGTGCCGAACCCAACTGGATTTGGGCCATTTGACTGACCAATCACTTGGCAATCCCAGACGATCTCACATCATCACTGGGTTCCAAATGACTTCGCAGAATCATCAGTTCTAATGTCCAGAAGATCCCAGGAAGGACTAGCCGGCTTTGGTTGGACTGGCCGTGTTTCACTGGAGATCGTGGGCTCTTGCAGAGGTTTTGTTGTTTATACCCGTCCGGTAATCCATAATATAATGGGATGGCTTAGCCACACTAAATACTACAACTTGTTTTAATCAAGTACGCACAGGACTTCATAAAGAGCAATTTGTTTGTCGGGAAACCAAAGGTTACCCTTGGTCCAGAATTTCAGAAAAGTATGTTATATAACTCATGATGTTACTGATAGGTTAGACTCTTAGACTCAGGATTCTATAAATTGATGTTTCTTTCCACTTGCAGGTCCTTGAGCGTCAAGGTAGTTGTTTCTTTTATATTCCTTATGGTTCTTCGCGTGGAAGCTGTCAGTGCAATGTAAAGGTTCATTGGAGTTCCCGTGGTCCCGGAGTTCGCGGTCAGCGGTCGCCTTCGGTCGGTCGTGAGACGTGGAGCGGACGTGGACGGTGAGAGGAGCAGATACTCACGTGGACGTGGACGTGGGTGGGAGAGAGCATGCCACAGACACGAGAATAGATTGGCACTTTTGTTTGTATCAAATCCCCAAAAAAACCTTTAAATGACGAATATGTTGCAGAAACTCTGCAGGTTTATTCCCTTAATGGAAGTTACACCTGGCATGACTCAATGACTGATTAGCACACAAGAACTGGACAAGATCCTCTTCCTTCCCGTGGTTCGCAGTATTTGTTGATCCATAAAAGGATCCCAAGAGTGAGAAAGATTCCTTCCAGTGATCCGACGCTTCCTTCGAAAACCAGATGATCGGTTCCGATGTGAGGTAAGGAAACGGATCCAACGCGTTTTCCGCATCGAAAACCTTAGTCTGGGTCAATGACAGGATTTGATTATGAATCACGTAAGGATGTTTTATAAACAGGTACCAACCTCAGTCCCAAGACTTTAGAAACACATAGAAACACTTTGGTCATACCCGTTGACTGATGGTTTATGAAATGAGGATCCTTTGCGCTTACAAAACGCTCGCTCCAACGTGCATATCATAAGCCAGCAGTTTGGGATTTTTGCAAATCTACAAGTTGAGGTTAATGTGAAGGTTGGCTCCACATGTTGTATATATCAGAGGGTTTCAGAGATTGGGTGTGGTCAAAAATCCAATGTGATGTCAGGGAAGGCATTCTGTATAAGGGCTGTATGCCCAGGAAAATCATTAATTGAATGCTGCGCAAGGCATTTTGTATAAACTAGTGGTTGGAGATGGTGTCTTTCAACTTTGTTTAAGTGATGCTGTACTATGCATTTTGTGTAAGCAGGCCTTTTTCTTCCAAATCTGAACATGTCCACTGTGTAATGTATTGGCATCTTATTACAAAAAACGATGGATCTCTAAACCAAAACATTTTATAGTGACACTATCCTTTACACACATATCATAAATCCTGTGTGTTTACAGAATGAACATCCACAGACCCATAGGACAATCAAGGAGTATCTTTGGTCCAGAATTTCAGAAAGCTGCATTGGTTCATTAAACAAATGTATCCAACCGGGAAAGCCGGAAAGCACATGTTCTTCTTTGTTCGGACTCTGTCTAGGGGTGCAGCCGCTGTGGCTGTGGAGCTGTTGGTGGGCGAACAAATAAGAGCAACACCCACCCTAGAATCCTGAATACAATGTCTCCAGGATTTGGCATCAAGCATGTACTATGCAGTATCAGGCCATTTTTGGAGTTCCAACCTGCGAGTTCCAACCAGCGAGCTGCGCAGCGAGCTGAAGTCAACGCAGCGAGCTAAGGAAGTCAGGCTGGTGCAAATATGGAGAGGCCTGCAAGCATGCGGCCTGGACGAATCAGAAGATACGTAGATTTTGCGATCAGACACAACAACTCAGATCTAATGGGCCCAATAAGTACAGTAGCCCCTAGAAGTCCAAAGACTATACTTTTCCTGTCCTCTGTGTCCCATGACCTCTAGCAGTTTGGGGAAAGGCATGGAACCCAACCATCATCCGTTACAGGGAATGGGAGACACTCAATCATTATTATACAGTCCTTGACTCCCGTGGTAGCCTTAGGCACTTGTTACTACTAGCGATGCACTTGTTACTACTAGCTTCTTGCTCCTAGTAGTAAGGCACTTGTTACTAGTAGCCTAATTCTTCGGTTGAAGAATTCTCTTCCCACGTCGCCAGTGGATCAGGACCGAGGTCTGGTCTCCCGTACACCAGAGGTTCAATGAACGAAGGACCTCAGTGCGGTCCAACAAGGGTCGCTTCTCTTGGACATTGGCTGAGGTGCATATGCTGGGCCCCGAAACCCCGTCAGAGAGCGCGGGCGGCAGAGAGGTGTGCCGCTTCTTTCAGAAGGCCGGTTGGTGCAAGCATGGCGAAGCTTTGCTTTCATCTTGGCAAAGCTTTGCCCCTATTATGCCTAGGGATCCAGTGCCTTCTCGGAAGGTGATTGGAGACACTATGTGTATAGGTACCAGGAGGGTCTAAGTACCTTCTGAGAAGGTACAACTGGATCCCTCGGGCAATGCTTGTGCGCAGGTCGACGGTGGGGTGTTCCGATCCGAACGGATGGAAACAGGATGCCGAGTTGATCACGGGTTGATGGTACCGTGTCCTATAAGGGGGTTGGAACGTCAACGACTCCAACGACTCCTTTGATGTTGCTCACAATCCCTGCGCAACATGGGGGATGGCGGCCAGGCCCCGCAAGGATGACCATATTCCAGATACCAACAAGGTGGTGCCATCCACTTCCACCTAGGGGGCGCTAGGGGGTGTATGTTTGTTCTTGAGGTGGAGATGCAAATCTTTCCATAGTAGGCCATCTTAAATAGAAATGAACATCAGAAGTTAGCGAGCAGTTCGTTCTTGGAGTTCATCGAGTCAGACGTCATAGATGTTGGACAAACTAACGCCATTTGGCATATACATTGGAGTGGTTGACAATGTATGTACATATGCCATACATGGAGTGTTTGGGAATTATGTAAATAGCATTGCTGGCATGTTTGCTTTGCCATAAGGATCAGTGTATTCACCAACATGTTCGAGCTCAACTTGCTGACGAATCCGCAAAATCTCAAGTTGAAGAGAAGACAGCTTTACCAGAGAAGTCTGGTGAAGTTTGCCGTTTCTATGCCAAAAATGGCTGGTGTAGAAACGGCGATCAGTGCAAGTACGAACATGTGACG